TTTTGTCTTTTTCAATATCTCTTGGCTGACATATTTCTTGACTTGTGACTCCCCTCACTTCAGTCTCTGCTTTTGTTGTTGCATTGCCTTTCCTTCTTCAGTAGCCAAATCTCCCTCTATCTTCCTCTTTCTTACTTGTGACTACATTTAGGTTCACAGTTAGGTATGAGTTCTTTGTGAGTATTGAATAAAAGTATTTTTATCAGATATGTGTTTTGCAAATATTTTCTCCTGGCCTATTTCCTGTCTTTTAATTTTCTTAATGTTATCTTTGGAAGTGCAAAAGTTTTGAATTTTGATGAAGTCCATTTTCTCACTTTTTCCCCATTTATGAACCATGCTCTTGGTATTGCATTTGGCAAATCTATGCCTACCTCAAAGTCTGAAGGTTTTCTTCTATGTTTTCTTTTAAATGTTTGTTTTGGCTCTTACATCTAAGTCTGACTTATGTTGAGTTAATCTTTGTGTGTAGTGTGAGGCGAGGATCTAAGTTGATCTTTCCCATACACATACTATTTTATTATTAAACATTCTCTGTAACGTTAATATTGATAAGAGCTTAATATTCCATTTCATGAATATACTACAAACAGTGGGGTCCTCATATTTAACCACTGTCTCTCAAAATGAGCAAAAAAACAGAACAAAAAATGAACAAAGAAATAAAAAACCCCAGCCCTGATTTGTAGCATTGCCAATTTCCCTGGTGTAAATACACTAACCATGTCCAGTTCCAAGATAGCAATGTTATATGACTTATTATGGCGTTGGGAAAGAGATCATGCAATTGGTTCTTGTGGCTGCTACAAGCTGGCCCCAGAACATCATTACTGGATCTATTTGACCAATCCCCTGGGGTTTTCTGATTTTTGTTTGCTTCTTTTTGTTCCCCCTTTTACCTTCAATATATAAAAGGTGTCCAAGAAAGCAGGAAGCAGCAGTCCATTTTATTCACTGCTTTAAATGAATGCCGGCCCTCCAGGAAGTGTCTAGTTCTCTCTCAGAACAGGCACAGCTGTGGGCAACATCCTTGCAGCCTTTCTGCTGTCACATTTAGTAATGCCAGTCTATTTACTTTCAGGACAACACCCAGCCTTGCTTCCTGGTGAAAACAGAGAAAACCTGAATTTTGACAAAACAGAAGTACGAAGCTGCTCGAACTTCTGCAATTTTGCAAAGACACGTATTCAGAATCGAAGTTACCAGGGTGACTTCTCCTTTTTCTCTCCTCAGGAACCAAGTAGTGAATTAAGCAAGCCCTGCGGGGCTCAGCAGTCATCCTGACAGACCCCAGTGATAAGTGTGAACGGCCACAGCATCAGCTTCCTGAAGGTGTCTTGGGCATCACAGTAATACAAGGAAATCACTGAAGGGTGACACTGTTTCAAAGAAAAGGCACTCACACTTCCTTTTCAGAAAACGTTGTTAGAAGTAAAAATAAAATATGGGGGCCACTCTGGGGCAGCAGCTCCTCATAGGCAGTTAAGTTATTACATCCCCGTTGGCAGCTCTTCGGCAATCCACCCGGTTTGCTCCACTGTTACCAGGCGGAAAGAGGCCTGGGAGACCCAGGAGGGGTGAGCAGTGGGAGGTTCAGCAATAGGAGTTGTGGGGACAGGAGGGTTCTGAGCAATTAGTACTACCTGACAAGGACTTTATCTCAAGTCTTTATAACTCCCACTATTTTAACTACACTTTTCTATTAATGTGAAAAGTGAAGTTCAGAGGGATGTTACCCAGGGTCACCTGGCATGTAAATACCATCTTAGAAAGCCTGTGCTCAAAGTGTGAGTCACCTCCTGATAGAAAACTCAAACTCAATATATATATATATATTTTTTTTTAATATATTTTATTGATTTTTTACAGAGAGGAAGGGAGAGAGATAGAGAGTTAGAAACATCGATGTGAGAGACATCGATCAGCTGCCTCCTGCACATCTCCTACCGGGGATGTGCCCACAACCCAGGTACATGCCCTTGACCGGAATCGAACCCGGGACCCTTCAGTCCGCAGGCCGACGCTCTATCCACTGAGCCAAACCGGTTTCGGCGATATATATATTTTTAAAAATATATTTTTATTGCTTTCAGAGAGGAAGGGAGAGGAAGAGAGATAGAAACATCAATGATGAGAGAGAATCATTGATCAGCTGCCTCTTGCATGCCCCACACTAGAGATGGAGCTCACCACCCGGGCATGTGCCCTGACCAGGAATCAAACCGCGACCTCCTGGTTCATAGGTCGATGCTCAAACACTGAGCCATGCTGGCCAGTCTCAACTTCAATATTTGTTGCTGGCCTTTTGCCAGCTCATCCCTCCCACCCCGGGTGCCGCCTGGCTCCCCATGCACACTGTGGAAATCCTACCCAACATTTTGGTTCCCAGAGGGTGTCATTTTTCAGGTCTCCACTGACACCAAACCCTCATTCTGAAATGTTCATTCCAAACTTGTTCTTTTCAGAAACAACTTCTCATCTTCTTTTCTCTCTTTCCTAAACTTTCCCCCTTGCTCTTCCCTCCCCTCTTCCCTCTCTTTCTTCACTTCTTTTTTTTCACAAAGAATAGAATTTTCTTATGATGTGTGTGTTTGTTTTTTAAAGGACAGCACTGAAAGAGGGCACAGATGAAAATGAACATCACCCTTTCTGGTGGCTTTGTCCAGTGTCAGTCTAGTTAAGCTGGACCGACATTTCCCAGAAGCCCTTGCTTGTAGGGGTCCATATGAGTGTCCGCCAGGAGAGATCATTAGCGAGCCATTTGTAAGAGTGAAGCAACAATGTCGTGCTCTGAAGATGCAAGCGGGTGCCGGGCCGTGGTGGCTTCCACGCACTGTTGTCCACCTGCTGGCCGCTCTTGCGGGAGCTGGGCAGCACCCAGCCCCACAGTGACTGCAGGTCCCACTGCTCCTGTGTCCTGGGCTGGGTGCCTGGCATCAGCATGGGTAAGGGCAGCTTCCCTGCAGGTCCCTATGCACACGCTTTGTCCTCATGAGACCTAATTGTCCACGTGCATTGCGGTTAGTCCTGCCAGGTTCCACTTGGTCCTCGCCATTGTCCACATCTAGCTTTCCTCCCTGACTGCCTGTGTGGCTGAGCCACAGAGATTCCCTCCCAGTCCTGGATGCCAGGCGACAATGTATACGGTTGTGCCAGCTCCCACAACCGCATACACTCCAGCTTCTAAGCAAGTCCTTAGTCCAGAGGAGCTCAGTTCTCAGTTCACGGAGTCCCTCCCATCTCAGTACTTTTCCCTCAGTGCCCCGAGGCCAAAAGAAACACCAAACTGTTCCACTTAAGTGGTTAGGTCCAAACAACTTAAGTGCTTTTGTGTAGTTCTGTTTGAAAATACATACAAATGGAAAGAAAACATAATATTTGATTATATTTTTAATTAATCAGTGTCAGTGGGATATGCACACCTGTTGGGCACAGCCCCATTCTCAAATCTTGGAATCCCCTGGATACTGTCACCCTCAGTTCCTGCTCTCCACGGCTTTCTCTCAAACCACTGGAAACTGCTCTGCAAAGATATAGCAACTTTGAAAGGAATGTACTACAGTCTAATATTGAAACTGTAAACTACCTCAAACTCGTAGTTCCTGGGATGTCCAAGAACTGGTTCTCAAAGAGATATTTGTACCTTCATATTTATAGCAGCATTATTCACAATAGCTAAAACATAAAAGCAAGTCAAGTATCCATCAGTGAATACGTCGATAAGCATAATGTAGTATATACGTACCATGGAATATTATTCAGCCACAAAAAGGAAGGCGATTCTGATGTAGGCTACAACATGGATGAACCTTGAGGACATTACTGTCAGCGAAATAGCCATCCACAAAAAGACAAATACTGCGTGATCCCACGATTCCATGGGGCCTGGGGGTCGGGTGGGAAGTGAGAAGTTATTTTTCAATGGGTATGGACTTTCAGTTTTCCAAGATGAAAAGAATTCTGGAGCTGGATGGTGGTGATGGTTGCACATTATAAATGTATTTATACTACCACTTAACTGTGCATTTAAAAATGGTTAAGATGGTATATGTTATGTGTATCTTACCACAAAAAAAAAACCACAGAAAAAATAAAATAAAATGATACACATTAAAAACCTCAGAATGAGACTTTGGCTTTGGGTCATTCCATTTTCCCCATTCATCTGCTAACAGGTTATTTCCATCCCTTGGCTATTGTGGATAATTCGGTAATAAACAAGGGGACACAGATTTCTGTTTGAGATCATGATCCTTTGGATATATATCCGGAAGTGGGATTGCTGTGTCAAGAAAAGCCTAGGGCAGTGTGACCTCCTTCTCCCCAGACAAAAGTTTGCTAAACCTTCGTAGTACCAGTTTCTTTGCACAAAGACAACCTGTAAACATAGCAGGTCCCCGCTCAGCCAGTGTTGCTCAGTGATTGAGCATCAATCACTTGAACCAGGAGGTAACGGTTCAATTCCCAGTCAGTGCCCAGGTTGCTGGCTCGATCCCCAGTGTGGGGCATGCAGGAGGCAGCCGATCAATGATTCTCTCTCATCATTGATGTTTCTATCCCTCGCTCCCTTTCCCTTCCTCTCTGAAATCAATAAAAACATTTAAAAAAACACATAGTAGGTCCCCATCTAAATGGGAGGGTAGCTTGGTAAGAGCATGTCTAAAAAGAGAGAGGGCAGCCCAGTGGTGTCACTGTGTTGTAGGTGGGGTGCCCAGTCCCTTAGGGTGCTTTCTGACTGGTGCATGCCTTTCTCCCCTTGGCTGTCCTGGCACCACGGCCTCCATGGGCTCTGTTGGTGGCCCTGTGTCTGTCCACCTCACTGAGCAGAGGGTTCTTCGAGAACAGACCTCCATCCTGTACCTGTGTCTCCCAGGGTTTGCTTTGACTGGAGCAGGTCCTCAGTTGCCACGTGGGATTGAATTGATTTGCGCAAGCAAAAATGGGGAAAACGGGCAAGTTCAAGTGTATCTGTTCCGTAGAATTCAGTGCAGGCACCAAAACAAAGCTTTGAGATAATTTATTGACTTGGAAGAGCAATCGCACATACTACTACTTAAAAACAACAAGCAGAAGGGTGAGTACCAAAGTCCATCTTTGTTATAATCATAAACATGCACCAGAGAAAAAACAAACGAAAAGAAAGTATACAAAAAAACGTGCAGCGGTTGCCTGTAGGCAGTGGGGTTTGTGGGTGATTTTGATGTCCGAGTTTTTTCCCCCTTTGCGTTTTAAAGCATTTCTAGAAACAATTTTTGTTATTGGAAAATGATTTTTAAGGAAATACAAATCTTAGAAACAAGGGAACAGAGCCATGATAAATGGGAGGTGCTTGGTGAGCGGTGAAGTGTTAGACATTTAGGATAAATAAGTTTGAGTTTAGGGCCTTCTCAACCTCCTACATCAAGACAGAGTCCCCACCCCATGCTGCCTGTAGACAGTCTCCTGTCTTCCAGCCTCAATGCCATCAGCTCACACACTGGTCATTTTTCTGATGATGGGCGCAAGGTGGGAGCCAGAGATCCAGAGGAAGAAAAGCAAGCCGGTCTCCTTTGGCCTGTTAGTAATTTCTGCCATAAAGCCATCAGAATCTCCTGCCCCAGCACCCGACTGACAGGGAAGGGAGATTCCAGAAATATTCAGAAAGAAAGGAATGGTCATGGGAATAATGACTCCCTCCCTTCTATGGCTGTTTCCACAAGTACACACGGTCTGTGTGGAGACCACTGCCTGAACTGTTTGTTACTTGTGGATACAAAAATCATCCTGAAGGGAAGTTCCACTGCCAACATCAGTTTCCCAATCCTATTTCCCATTAGATCTCAAGTTCTTCCATCATGAGTTCTTTGTTTCTCAGGGTTTCCAGGAGCTCAAACCCTGCAGTGGGGTGGGGGTTGCAGTGGAGGCAGCTGCTGGCTCCCGAATGGCTCTAGCCTCTGAGCCAAGTCAACGGTGGGAAATCACTATCTGCAAGTTCAGTGGTGGTGGGGATAGAGGAGAGGGGATGCTCAGTGGCTTTGTTTACAAATGTGAATGTTCACAAATCTGAAACCCTGTTTGGGCCCAAGCCCTGCACTGGCACCCTTTGTCTGGTCTTCTGGAATGTTCTACAGTTCACTCATTCATTTCCAGGGAGAAGTTCATGGAGAAGACTCAAGCCCCAGAGGTGATTTAGTCTAGACCACCTCAACCCTAGGGGGTGTCCGTCTTTCCACGCTGTGCCTGTGGTCCGGGTCTGGCGGGGACAGCCCAGCTGCCTCCTCTCCACCAGCGGGCCTGCCAGGCCCCTCTTGCAGGGGCCTTAGTCAGAACCCATTAGAGAGCTCCTGCTCTGCAGTGGAGGGGGACAGGGAGCTGGTCCTCTCCAGACTCTCGGTGCGGAGGAAGGGGAGCCATTTGGCCAGGGGCACGGCCAGGAGACTGTGGAACAGCTGGCGCAGGTACTTGCGGAACCTCTCGCCCACAAAGACATAGATGATGGGGTTGATGCAGCAGTGCGTGTAGGCGATCACCTCCGTCACCTGGATGGCCAGGTCCAGCTGTTTGCTCTGCTCACACTCATCAACAAAAAAGACGTCTTGAAAAGCAGAAATAAGCATAGTCAGGTTGTAGGGGGTCCAAAAGAGAAAGAAGAGGATCATGATGACAAAAATGAGGCGGACGGCTCTGGACTTCTTCTCATTGGGACGTCTGAGCAGAATCTTTATAATTCCTGTGTAGCAGACGATCATGACCACCAGGGGCAGAATCAGCCCCAAGATGTTCAGTTTCAGAGCCTGGAACTGTTGCCACTGTTTTAGGTGTTGGTGAGGGAAATGGAGGCTGCAGGTGTAATGACTGATCTCTTTCTGGATCTTAGAAAAGTAGAAGCCCGGGATGGCAGCCAGGATGGCCAGGCCCCAAGTGACGAGGCTGGTGATGATACCAAAGGTGACAGTCCGGGCCCGCAGGGCAAACACAGCATGGACAATGGCCAGGTACCTGTCGATGGTCAGCAGGATCATGAAAAAGATCTCACTGTACAGGCCTATGTAGTAAAGCCTCGACAGCAACTTACATGTGCCTTCGCTGAACCTCCAGCTATCCTTCAGATTGTAGTCAACCCAGAAGGGCAGCGTGAAGAGGAAGAGCAGGTCAGACAAGGCCAGGTTGAGGAGGTAGATGCTGGTCATGCTCTTGAGCCTCTTGTACTGCATGAGGACCAGGACCACCAGGATGTTGCCAATAAGGCCAACGACAAATACTAGGGAGTACAAGGGGGGCAACAGCTGAGACCCAAAAGCCCTCACCTCTCCTTTTTGGCATGGGGTTGATTTCCCATAGTCATATTCTGTGGTCATATCATAGTCCTCTGGAGTGGTTGACGTTTCCATGCTGGCTTCTCCCCTGGACCAGGAAGATGGTTTCTGGATTGACTTTGCTGTCAAGGCAGCAGAATATAAACAACAAAGACAAGGTAGTGACTATATGTCCTCATCACTTGACTACTCTTTACTGACTGCCTCCTGTGCACCACGCCCTGAGACCAAACGTTGACCCTCGTCCTCTCTGCCGTATAGTGTGAGTGGAGGAAAGGGATAGTAACGACTGAGTGCAGATATTCTTGAATTCAATTACTTTGGCAATGAG